ATTTTGAATCTGTTGTAAGGACAAGGCGCACCACCAAACAAGTTGTGTCTTTGTTGTTTTGTCTGCGTGGATCAAGCAACTTCAATGCCATCGCCATTGCATGTGTGTCCCCCCCCCCCTCGCTCCCTCACTGTTATTCAACGCATGCGTGGGTGTTTTTTTTTTTTTTTAATAATGCATGTGCATGTGTGTGTGCGTCTGACCGTGTGCTCCTGTCTTCCTCTCTGCAGTCATCCTCCCCGCGCCGGCCTTTGACAAGGACCAACTCTGCGGAGGTAAGTGGATTAGCAGCGGTCTGACGAGCCCCCGCTTCCACCCGCTTGCCATCACACAAACGTTACCACGCATGCTACACGCTGTGCGCATCCTTGTGTCTCTGTGCCGTCTCTGTCCGCACTCCAAATGAATCCGCGCAACGGTTAGTCCCGAAGCTTCGGGTCAGCGGTTGGCGGGGTTGGGCATCGTCCTGGAATGGAGCGCGATACAAGAAGAATTTTTGCGTGTTGATCCTTCACTATTTGTATTTCTGGCTACGTTCACTTTACTCCACTACATTTGCCGAACTAAAACGTATAAATTTTCTCCAAACCACCTCTGTTAGACATCACTGCAAAGAACAATTCGAGGAAATTATTCCTTTGGCGCACAAAGCAGAAAATAGCCAAGTCAAGATGATTTATACAGTCCTTCGTCACTGAATCGTCGCGAGGCGCCACAAATTGGAACAATGCTGTCCAAACCATCATGCGACTCGTTCAATCGATGCACAAACAAGCGCTCCTTTGGTGGAAATAACGAGCGTGCTTTGTTTTCTCGTTGCCGGGCAGCGTTCACGTCCATCCACCTGATCGCCACCGGGGTGTCCTGCTTCATGGGCGCCGGTCTTTTGTCCTTCCTGGTCTACGTGTACTGTCAACGCTTCCACAAGCCGTCGCAAGAGTCGGCCGTCATCCATCCGACCACGCCCAACCACCTCAACTACAAGGGCAACGCCACGCCAAAGAACGAGAAGTACACGCCGATGGAGTTCAAGGTTGGTGAAGCGTTCGCAAGTTGGCATCCGTTTCGTATACGTGCTTCGCGTTCACGAGCCGTCGGGACA